TTAAGTCTAATTAGTTTTTAATTCCTATGGAGTAATATTTTCATACTTTTCAAAGTATCTCCCTTGCCTAAGTTCTTTCCTAACTGCTCATTGAGTATTTACTTTCAATGTCAATGAGTGAGTGACTCCTACAGATTATAACCAATGCTTCAACTTTACATTCCAGGTATCCAGAGGATGACCCCATGGTAAATTTTATGAAGGAGTTTGATGGAACAGAACTTGCTGGGGAAAAATGGGATCCAGAAATGGACAGTATATTTCTGAAGGAAGCCATGGATGGTTGTGGTTAGTGAAATATTATTTACTGTAAAAAATGTTTTATTTGCGGAGGCAAAAATCCCTTAATTTAATTGAAGGAAGAGAGCCAAAGGCTGTGAGAACACTTAGTACATCATTATAAGTGCTTATATTGATATTCCATTTGCTTCCATTTGTGGAGACCTTCTGATTAATTTTAGTGATCTCAAACCCTCGCTTATATTGCCAAAATTGAATTCTTGCAAAAACAAATCTGCTTACAAAGTATGTACATTTTTTTAAATTCTCCCTTTCAAGGCACAAATGAAGAGGCCATTATTCATGTGATAGCAAATCGTACCAATGCACAGAGGCAAGAAATCAAGCAGATGTTTAAGACGGCTTATGGAAAGGTATGTTACAACAGAATTTTGCAATTTATATTGATACACTTACACATTTTATTTAACTCATAATTTGTTCTACACAAAGTTGACATTGAGGGACCTGGGTGAGAAATAAATATGAGGAAAATAAGAAAATGAGTCAATATACTATTCCTCCTAATACATGTAGTTTATGTTATAGCTATTATCTATAATACAGGTATATTGGAAAGGAAATGCATATAATAATTCTTTTAAAAAAAAAACATCTAAAATACATATGTGTGAGAAATACAGAATTAGCTCTTCTTTAAAATTTCATTTAAATAGGGCCAAATGCTATCACAAATCACTGTATCTTTAGAGCACTTACATGCAGGCAGATAAAAAAAAAAACTGGCTTGAAATGCAGGGATAATTTATCATACAGGTGAAAGGAAATATTTGATACCTTTTAAACACTTCTCCATAATGAACCATTATATTTTGTTAGGACCTGATTGAGGAACTGGAATCAGAGCTGAGTGGAGATTTCAAGAGTGCCGTGATGTCTCTGTTTGTACCACCTCATATTTACGATGCCTACTGTATCAAAGAAGCCATTTATGTAAGTTTAACAAAAAAAAAATTTGATACACATTATGGTATTATGGTGCCTATTGTATCGAAGAATCCATTAATGTAAGTTAAACAAAAAAAAATTATACACATTATGGTATACATGAACAATTTTTTTCTCCACTAAATGAAAATATCTTAGATTTTCTCCTTTCAAAATTGCAGGGCCTTGGAACAGATGAATCTGTTCTTATTGAGATATTTGGGACCAGAACTCCAAAGCAGATAAAAGCAATCAGAGAAGTTTATGCTGATGGTAATATTTGTTCACATAACGCAGAATTTTTTTATCAGTCAAACAATACTGTAAACCAACTTTTATTTTCTTTTACCAAGTACAGAATATTTTAACTGTCAATTTGGTCTAATTCAGACCCTCTGATCCATTGACTTACATGATTTTCAAGAATCTGAAGAAATCCCATTAACTGACCTTGTTCAAATGACCTTGAGTGAAGGTCATCCCTTTAGTCAATGGTACTGGTTCTGTCAGAGGGAATGAATATCAATTTTTTTTCCTTAGAAATTTGAAAAAAAAATGATGTTAAACTTTTCTACCAGATGAAAAGATATACATGTACACTCATCTTGATTGAAAATATGTAATTTTTAAGATTCTTTTTGTTTCTAGTTGCAAGCCCAAACAGAAAGGAAGGGGAGACTCTTATTGAACAGGACATTGAAGATGACACAAGTGGTGATTTCAAACAGTTCCTCATATCTGCTTGTCAGGTATCAAAGTTTAAAATTTAAAAAGCCATTTTTAGTAGTAAGATTTTTTTTTGAAGAAGAAACCCTATTGCTTCTTTAATTAGAACCTTAAGATGAAATAGGATTATACATAAAAGAATGTATTTTTTTTTTTGAAAATGACAAACAAAAATTCTATCAGGAGGGTGATTTATTTCAAATTCTATCTTTCAGGGTGGAAGACGAGAGCTTGACCCAGATACATTAGAAGAAGCCGTGGAACCTGTCACTTTTGAGGACAGACCAACTGGGCAGTTCGTTATCAACATGGAGAAGCTAGTAAATATGGGCAAAGCCAAGCGGGATGCCCAGAAACTGTTTGAGGTCACTGAAGATCAGCTCGGCACCAATGAGGAGGAGATGATTCGAATCTTCGCAGTTCCCGAGGTTTACCAGTCCAGGGCCACATATGATGAATATGTTAAGGTAAATTCCTCAAGGGATTAAACTGACTGTTCATAAGAAAAAGAAAAATTTTGAATGGGTATTCTGTTCATTGAAATGATAGCCACATAAGCTCAATTTCAATTTGGTTGTTAAACTGAAATTGTAAACCAAATATGTTATAATCATTTTGAACCCAAATTTCATTTTTTTTTTTGACGATTTGTCCCTGCAATTTATGCAAATGGGTGAACTTTAAAAAATGGGCGATATGGTGTAATGGCAAAATTTAAAAAGGGCAAAATTGTTGACAAATGTTAAATGGCCATAACACCCCCCCCCCCCCAAAAGGGGGGGTGAAAATAACTCAATGCACCTGTCAGAGCAATACTTTTATCTAATCAGTAACTATTCTTTACTTTGCCAGCTGACTCAAAGAGATGTAGAGAACACAATTGATAGGGAGACTTCAGGAAACTTTGGTAAAGGACTTCTAACAATGGGTGAGTGATACATTTAGTAGGGAATCATTTTTCAGTTTCCCAAGATTTTTATTTTGCATTAGTATGACAGTTACCATTTATTTTTCAATGTAATGCAAGCACATGCATGCATTCTCCATAATCAGGAGAATAAGTTAAGATGTATATTAAAGTTTGATTTTTTTGATTGACAGTGATGGCTCTGAAGTGCCGTCCAAAGTACTTTGCTGAACGCCTCGTGTGGACAATGAAGGGACTTGGAACACATGACTCAGACCTTATCCGTGTCATTACAAGCAGATCTGAAGTAAATCTCTCTAAAATCTGTAATCAAAGCTAAAGTTTGGCTGTATAAATGAATTTATAATATTAGCTAAAGATTGCAAGTCACGCACAGAACAAGATATTTTAGGGATTAAAAAATCAGATTTACTAATTATCACAGGCATTCTCAAAAATAAAATTTGAAATACCTGTGATTGGTATTATATGGTATTTTAAAAAAAGGCTAGATTTACATTACAAACAAAGCTCAATAACAACACAGATATTGTGCTGTACCTGTGTGTCCATAGAATTATGTCTCCTCAGTCCTCTATTTGCTTTGATTCTGAGTATATATCTATGGGCTTTATTCTATATATGTATTTTTTATATATTATGCTCTCATTTAATTGGTTGTCTTGGTAGATTGACATGGTCCAGATCAAGGACAGCTTCCTGGAGATGACCAAGCAGACATTGTATAACTGGATCGATCAGGACTGCTCCGGGGACTACAAGAAAATTCTGATGGCCATTGTAGGCAAAAACTAATACAATGGACCAGATTTATTTGTGTTGACTACTAAAGAATATTCTCATGGTTATGTTTGTTACATGTTAGATTATTACACACTTCATACGCTGAATGTTAAAATGTGAAAACCAAAGACAATGGGGATCGCTGGGCATTTTTTTTAAGTACGTCTTTGAATCAAATTTGTCCAAATTTACAGAAACTGAGAAATAAAAAAAATATGAAGATTAAATGATTTAATTATGTTAAGATCTCAACTTTTTTTTGGAATAAATACTCGATTCAAAATTGTGAAAATTAAATGATGTGGATCGAATCATGTGTAAACATCTTTTTCTTGTCATTTTATATGTTTAATATCTTTTCAAAATCTAAAAATTCTCTTAATTGGTTTATGTCTGAAATTGGAACAAAATTAAGTTGTTATGAAATTTATTGTTTTGATTTTGTTTTTATTTACAATGAATGACTTTGCATTTCATATGAACAGAACTGTACAAATACAATCCTTCATTGAATTTTAGTATATAATATTTGAAAGATTATATATTTTTGAAATCTTTTTTCTCAAATACTTCCTTTCTGTGGTGTCACTTTACATGTATTACATGTATATACATGTACATGTATTCCTATAAATACTTTACATTTATGTCTCAACAACATATGAAAGGCTATCATATTGTGGGTTTTGTTATGTTTTCAAAATTCTATTTCGAAAGATTTTTACTTAAATATGTATTGCTTAATTTCTTGAGTGCAAGGTCCAGGTTTTATTGTTTTAATACATACATATATACTTCACAAAAAAAATCTTGAAATATTCTACTTTCTTTCACATAATATATACTGTGTGATGGCACTGATCATGCGATATAGAATAGATATATAGTGTTTTTGAAAGAATGGAGAAACTGTCCCTCTCTTTCTCTCCAGTGTGCAGTTCATTACTCAGTGGTTAACAGTAAATTGTGTCTTTTTATTTTGCATATAATTTTTTGTGGTCTCCTTAACTCTTTTTATGATGTCATCTGATAGGAACAGACATGCTTGTTCCTAAAATTTGACTGAAAAAAAATCCCCCCCCTCCCATCCATTATCTGTGATATATTTGTACATGTATTTCTCAACAGAACATTTTACTGCAATATATGAGGATATTTTTGAGTAAAATTTTACAGACATCATCTAAAGTATTTTGTGTTTTTAATAGATTTTGCTAACATGATTTTGTTTGCTGTTACCCCCAATGTTTTAAATTTATATACCTATCAATTGGCAATGCCAGCTTGGAGAAGCATGAAGTAAACAAAACTCCCAAGAAGATTTGCACAACAGACCATCCTCACAAAATCAGGAGTCATCAGTCCACTCATGGCGCTACATCCAAGAGTCGTGAGTGGACATGGGACCCCCTGAATTTGTGAGGGTAATCGAACACGATACAGCCTCAACATGCATGAGAGGAAGGCAGTAGCTCAATAGGGGGATACAATGAGAGAACTGACTATAAAGTCAGCCTCTATGAATTCAAAAACTGAACTTGTGCAGTGTGTATCTTGTAAGTCACAGCCAATGGTTAACCTTTTATATAGATAAAAAGAAAGTTCAAGTTAAAGATGCTTCTTTATCATGCAGTTTTTATGAATAAAATGAAAAATAAAACAAGATATTTTCAATGGCAACTCTCAGTCAAAACATAAATAAAACTTCATTAAAAGCAATGTCCTAATCTCCCTCTAAATAACTCTTCCACCGCTTCTTTGGTGGTGACAGAATATAGTCTCGAGAAGGAACAGATCTATTGTTAAGCACACCAGAAGTATTGGAGTTGTGTGGTGAAAAAGCAGAAGCATCACGTGATGAGTTTTCAGTTTTGAAAGTCAATCTTTTGAACGGATGGTAGTTGGAAAGATAATCCAAAAAGGTTAAGTGTCTAGCACAACAAAACTTTTCAATGACATTTCCAGATCCTTGTTCTTGTGAGGTATACTCATCTTTAGGACCAATTTCCATAAAGGTTGTGGGGTGAATAGTGTCACTGTTAATTTCCATGCACTCATTAACACTTCTAGTTGAACAACTGCTGCTGAGATTTGAAACATCAAGAGAATCACTTGAAATTGGCACACAACTCTGAAATAAGGATATATTTTTGCTAGAATCATCTATGGATTTAATTCCAACTATATCCTCACTTTTGGTGTGAATGCCTTGATGGTTTCCCATATCACTGTAGAAGGGTCCATTAAAATTGTTGGATGCATCAAGGATAATCCAGTGCTTTTCCCTCAACAAAGCACCTGGTTTTGTTATATCTGGTTGCTGTGGAGACACAGGTGAATCTGGTTGCTGTGGATACACAGGTGGATGATTTGATGCTGATGATTTAGATGATGAACATTGTTTTGAAGAAAAAGATGATGATGACACTTCATCAATTCCTTTAGGATGTGAAACTTCAGAATTCAAGCAATTCTCTGTCAATTCTGGGAGAAATTTTGCTTCTGCTTCTATGACTGTTTCCTGACAAGACAAACTGCTGGAAGACTCTGTGTTGTCTTGATGTATAATTTCTCTGTCCTGATTATTTTCCTTTGCTTTCTTGGGATGTTTATTCAATAACACCATGTGTTCTGAGAAGGTCCTAGTCCTACAACACTGTTTTAGATCATCATTTCTGACTACATTATTTACTTCAACTCTTCTGCATGAATATGAATCACTTGTATTTTCATCATCAAAAGAGTCTCTAGAATCATAATCTGCTGCTTCAGGATGTGATTCTTCAGTTTCAGTTGACATTTTGTTCATTTTCAATACTGTGTAGGATTCATTTCCATTTTCTGCTCGGAAATCTTTTAAAATGTTTTGAGAATGTTCATCTTCATGGTCAGTACTATTTGAATGCATACTAGACATTTTATACTTTTCTAACTTGTCTAAATCACATAAACCCTCCTTTGTTTCTGAAGCATAATTATGTGTTTTATTTGCATTTTTTCTCAATTTACCATGTCCTCTTATGGATAACCTTTTACTGTGTGTACTTGCCATATGTCTATTCTTGTTGTCTTTGGAGTTAAAAATAAAGTTACACATATGACAAGTATACACCGGGGTTGACTTACTATTTCCTTTCTCACTGGAGTTTGAAGTGGCTGGCCTTTTCCCTTCACAATGTTGAACCTTTTCTATCTTCATATTCAATGGTTTCACAATTTTCAAAGCAACATGTAAAACATCATCCAGTTTATGACTTGGCAAGCCATGCTTATTTAAGACATCAGATACTTCCAATGAATCTGGTTTTGCTGAACTTTCATCTGAATCCATTGAAGAGTCAGAATTGACAGAAACAAGAAAAGAATTGGTTGAAGTTTTGTGACTTTCAAAGTGAAGATTTTTCTTGCATTTTTCACTTTTCAGGATGTCCAAAATATAATCGTCTAACTTATGTCCCGTCTTCATCTTGTTGAAGTTGTCCATCAAATCTTCATCTGGAAATTCTCCACTTGATGAAGGGGATAAACTTTCACTTGTATTCGAATCATTATCCATGACTACTAAACTATTTGAACTGATATTTGCTGAATTTCCAGTTGTCCCACTATCATTAGTGAATCTGTTTGGGGATTTCATACTTTTCAGAAGGCTCAAAATATAAACATGATCCTCGTCGTTTTCATCTGTGATCTTTTCCTCCATATTGAAAACAAATATTCTTTAGTTTCCTACTAACAAAGTTCCATCAGAATTCAACCACAATCCAAGATTAAAAGAATGAGAAAGGCATTCTCACTTTCTGCAGTTAATCGTCTACCCATAGTATGGGCTGATCCTACATAATCCACAAATATTCAAGACCAATCAAGCTATTTTCATATCGTTTGGCTAGTTCTATTGTTCACTCTAGAAACTTACTGCTTGTTGCATGCTGTTCCTTGCTTTCTCGTGTATTGTGGGTTTTCTACAATGCAAAGAATACATGTGATAGAAGTCACGTATGCTTTAATCATTTCTTTTTTCAAAAGACACATTAAAACTTTGTTTCTAACCTTTCATTTCGTAAAACATCTAAGATTATAAGATAGCGTTACTTACTCAAGCCCAAAATGAAACTAGGCGGACGCTATTTTGTAATATCAAGCCCGAGTTGATAAAAATATACATTTGTTACTTTTATTAGAGACATATATGGTTTTATGTGTTTCTGTTCATCAAATGTTATATAATAAATCTTTTATGTTTTATTAGAATTTTAGACAAAAATAAAGATTTTTGGAGTTAAAGTTGGAAAAAAAACTAAAAGAAAATACATCGGGATCGAGGTACTTCTGCACAGGTTCTTCATCAGTTATGACAGAGGAAACGCCAAACACAAACAGCCTGTTAAACTTTGAAATAGAGGTATGTATTGTACCACTATGTTTAACATTTACATTGTTTAACACAAAATATGTATAGATGTTTCTTTTATTTTGATAAAATCCGTAAAAAAGAAATGGTTTGGGAATCAAATAATTTTATGAAAAGGGGGTGTTGTCATCAGATTCTCCTTAAGGGTACATGTATGGCAAAATTTGTGTAATATGTCTTGATGTCTTTTTTATCTTTCAGTTTGATGATGAAGAATTTAAGTCTGATTTGCCAACTGTGGAAAACCCCACACTAGAAAGTATTCTCAATGAGGTAACAGTTTTATCGACCTTCGACGATAATTATTTTATTTTTTTTGAGGCAGTTAATAAATAATTTATAAATGTGAACTGAGATCATATTAGGTTTATTCTAACCAATTTATCTGAATATAATTGTGAGTAAACTGTCATTTCGTTAATACCCTGTCTTTAAACAAAACTCAAATACAGACTGAAGACTACGATTCAGTGGAAGATGACACATCTTCAGTTATCTCCGCAGTCCAGGCATTTAAGGATTCAGGGGACACAACTTCTCTGTCCAGTTCAGACAGCAATCGCACAGATCGCAGTGCAAGATCCAGACAGAAGTATGTTATTTATATTCATTTCACATTTGACATACATGTTAACTCTCCCGATTTAGGCGGGAGTCTACCGCTTTTTCACTCCATCTCCCGCCTACCGATTTAATTCAGAAATCTACCGCTTTTCTACAAAAGCTGCGTCTAAAGTATTTTTGGTTCGCTTGGGTATCCATTTTTGAAGCCACTCTCATAAAATCTCGCTAGATATCGCGTGATTTGACTCGGAATCATACAAACGCTTTTTTTGTACATAGATTTCAAGCACGGATTTGACAACGACAACAACATAAGACTACCAGTGATTACATTGGTTACGATAAATTAATCAACATCCCTGCCATGAGAAAGGAGATACGGCTTTTAAGAATTAAATGAAAACATTTGACATCGCCTTTAAAAGGACAGAAGCTCACAACTTTATCAATAAAGTCAAAAGAAATCACTCGATTAACCAAGCCATGTGGCAATCTCTACTTTCGTTTTCGATCATCGCGGGAAATCTGATTTATACTACGAAATATACGAACTTGTTTTAGATCTAGATTAAACAATGCCATCATTTGTTTTGTTTAAAAATTGAATGAACATTCAGAATTATTGCTTCTAGGCTATTTCAGCAAAGATCACTCTTCAAAATGCTATATGTAAAGCACAGGCCTTTAGATCGCTTAGAAAAAAAAATTGAGTTGTTGAAAAAAAAATAAAGGTATGGAACTCTTTTCATGGGGTACCTACTTTCGCCAATAAAATTCTTTTAAATCAAATGCTTTACAATTTTACTTTCTATCCATATCTATTCAAATATAAACAATCTTCATTTCTACCAAAGTTCATTCCATAATTCCTTATACTTCTCGAGATATTCTGAAATCAATTCCCAAATTGACAATAATTTTTTTACTCGACGTCAGCTTGGGCCTTCACTAATTGTAAAGCGGGAACGACGGGACAAATTTTCCCCGGAATTTATTCTAAACTCAATGAATATTTGCTCATTTGCATTCAAGCTTTACAAGGTTTTTCTTTAATTTGATCATATGGTGTAACTAAGTCATAAACAACATTTTAGCAGTCTAATTGTTTTGAAAATCGAAACGTATATAATATATTCCGGGAAAAATTCGTTCTACCATGGCTTCATTCACATTTATAATCAACATGGCGGTAGTTGTTGATGTAGACGTTTTCAAATTAATTTTTCGCGAAAGGAATATTATTACGGACTTAACATTACAATCTGGAGTAAGAAATCAACTTTAAATTGTTGAAAGATATTGCGAATACTATGCAACTCTTCGCCGCACTTCAAACACCATCTGTTTACATGTGAATGGCCAGGGGCCCAAGCTAATGTCGAGTAAAAGAAAGTAGGTCATTTTTGAAATTGATTTCAGAATATCTCAATAAATATATATGGAATTTCGGAATGAGCTTTGGCAGAATTGAAGAATGTTTAACTATGAATAGATTTAAATAAAAAGTAGAATTTTAGAGCATTCGAATAAAAAATATTTTATTAGCGAAATTAGATACCCAGTGTAAGAGTTCAGTACCTTTATTTTTTTTTACACACACAATTTTTTTAAAGCGATCCAAAGCAAAATGATGAGCATGAAAAATATTTGAATTTGTACAATTTATGTCAAACTTAAGGTGTTTCTGTCTTCTTATTGCTGTTGATATTTAAGATTAATTAGTGTAGGTACATGATTTCATTTAAGGCTTATAATATACATGTATATTACATGAAAGATATCGATAATCAAAGCGTTAAACAACACGCGCGCAATGCTACCGCTTTTGAGGTCTGAATCTCCCTCTTTTTCATCACAATAGGTTAACATGTATGCATTTGATATATCTTTGTAAATTGCTGGAATCCATTCAACTGAAAATCAAAATAAAGTAAGTGTGTTTGAAAGAGTTGAAAAGGTAGATAAGCATTTATTATTTTTGACTATAAATTTGTTACCTTACAGGAAGAAAATTGATATAAAACAGACAGTACATGGTTCAGTGTTGAAACCCAACCGCTTGAAAAATATAGCAGCTCAACTTCACAGTGCAGCTGTTAGTAAAATATCTTACAAATTGTTCAAATAATTTATTAAAATATTTGGGTAAAATTTAGATTATCAGGGGAGCTTAAAGCAAAAGCTTTAGGTTCTTGAATTAAAATAAAGCATATTTGACTTTCAATATGATACTTTTCAAATGAATTCATATAAACTTTTTATTATTCACTTTGATTTATTTTCAATCTATTTAATATAGGAAAGAGTTGATGCAGGAATGCCAACAGCAATGGTAAATTATGATTTTTATATACATGTACTAAAACAATGATAAGGTGGTGCAAAACTAACATCTTCTATATTTCAATTTTGATTAAGGAAATGATTTCATAATCACTTTTATAATTGACGTATAAGTTACATTTTTTCAGGCTGTTTCCTCATTGATTGCCATTGGAACCTCACATGGACTAGTGCTGGTGTTTGGTAAGACAACAAAAACATTCTGCATTATGGAGTTTTTTTTATCCTTTCTAGGAAGTAATCTATTATGACACCTTTCTTCTGTTTCCCTCAGATCCCAAACAGGTGTTGAAGTGGTGCCTAGGAAGCACCGCTGTGGGCCAGCAGTATGGGTCCGTGTCTGCCCTCAGCTTCAACAAGGACTGCACCAGGCTTCTCTCTGGGTTTGCTAAGGGGCAGGTGAGTTTAGAACTCTAAGGGACTAATGGCTGGTTGCATATCTCAGATTTGAACTAACAGTCAATGATTCCAAGTTTAAATCCCAAATAATGCATTGCACACATGTAAGGCTTTGCTGAATACAAATTAGAATTACGGGAAATTCTATTAAACCTTACTTACCTATATAGCTTGATCGCAGCAGAACTATGTCTCAAGTAAACCAAACTTTGATTGAATTAAATCCAGCTTACATGATCTGTGGATCAGGGACTGAGCTGTACTAATCTAAGTCATATGTATGCAACTGGACAAAAAAGACTAATCTCAGGGGTAATATGGGATGGATGAAAATGAGACTTATTGAGTAATAACAGTGTTTTCCCTAGAACCTGGTTACCGGCCAAATTGACTGCTTCAGTTGACAAAAATGCTGTTTTGAAATAAAAATTCAAAATTAAATTGCTGTAAGGTGTATTAAAAATTTGTACATAAACCCCAGCCTCTAGCCTGTTCCAACTGATCTCTAACCCTTAACTTTGAAATAAAGGGAAAACACTAAGTAAATGTTAACAGGGATATGAGTGATTTTAATGTTTTAGAAAACAATGTGGAATTTGACAATTCTGGTGTTGTAGATAACAATGTGGGATTTAACCAATGGAAAACTGCTGAGGACAATCACAGACGCCCACCCACCAGGATCAGCTGTTCTTCATGTCAAAGTAAGAGAAATATATATTAAAAAAAATAACTTGTAATAAACACTATAGGTATTTAATGGATTTGGCTAACCTTGGTTTTGTTGCTAGATGTCATTTTAGTAAGCTTTTCTATAAGAGAAGTCTTTGTTCAGTTTACAGACAGCCCAGTGTTAGCTGTGTGTAGTGACAGTGGAGGGTCGGTGTTTGAAAGCAAATAAGTAGGTTATATTTCTTATATCTAGGTTATATTTCTTATATCTACAGGACTTTTTAAAAATAAATTTTTTTAAATGCATAGTTTTAGCTCACCGGAGTAACTTGTCAATTAACATTTAAAGCATTTTTCATCTGGTAAAATGTGTTGTTAATGTATGTAATCTAAACATGCAATTCAACATATTGAATTTAAACAGTCATGTTCTTCTTCAATGAAACCAAAGCTTAACCAATTTTAGTTTTATTTTTCATAAAGTATTACATGTATGGGTGAAGCTTTAAACATTCTCATCTTTTTCTCTGAAACCACTTAACCAATTTTAGCATATAGTATCTACATGTATGGGTGAAGGGGAACAAAATTTCTGAATTTCATGGTCCTTGCCCCCTGGGGCCTTGGGGTGGGGCCAAACCACTAAAATTAATGCAATCTGTAAAAATCTGCTTTACTTCTGGACATCAAGCAGGCACACTATTGGTATGATCATAATCAGCGTTGAGTCCTCTACCAAAATTTTGAAATTCATGGCCCTGGGATCAGGGGTTCCAGAGCTAGGGCGGGGCAAAATAGATTATGTAGTGAAAATGCATTATTTCTTTGAAATTCTTCTTCTCTGCTGCTGGGCATTAAATAAACTATTAAGTGCATAGTTATGTTGATTATGGCTGCCTCTTCCAAATTTGTGAATTTCATAGCCCCGGGTTCAGGGGTTCTGGTGTTAGGGTGGGGCTCTATTGATTATATTTAAGCATTGAATTCATATTTTGGGATGTCTTCGGTACTATAACACACCTGGCCGTGCTGACAAATTGAATACCGCGCGTTAGCGCAGTATATAATTTTTGGCCGGCCGGGGTTTATGGACCGAAAACATCCCAATATATGAATTAATGTTTATATTTACATTCTTTAATTTTTTCCTCTTCATAATTGTTTATTTTGGTAATCTTTAAAGTGAATTTAGCGCCCTTTAAAACTGGTTTGTTTTAGACGTAAGAGCCGTTTGTGACGTCTTTAAAATTAATTAAAGCAAACGAACATTGCGAGGAAAAAAAGTGACAAATTAATTTTAAATGCACAATATTGTTTTAACGTTAATTCAAAAGGGTTAATTTTTAGCTCTACTGTAGGACCAAAAAAACTTATAATGTAATATTTTTTTTTTTCCTTTTTTCCTCTTTTAAACAATTTTTCAAAATGCTACTTCTTTTACAGTTTTGATCTGATTTCAATATAACTTGGCACACAAGTAGACTACACTAAGATACATAATTCTGTGTATCGGTTTTTGATTTTTATAAACGGTTTGCCGTGGTTAATAAAAATAGAAATTTCTGTGAAATTTCTTTAAAAAGCTACTCCTCCTACAGTTTTGGTCTGATTTCAATATAACTTAGCACACAAGTAGACTACACTAAGATACATAATTCTGTGTATCGGTTTTTGATTTCGATGAACGTTGTTGCCGTGGTTACTAAAAAAAAAAAATTTCTGTGAAATTCTTTCAAAATGCTACTCCTCCTACA